ATTTTGCACTCCAAATACCGTCCGAAAGAGGTCTATTAGTAGTAAGACCGGTCCACCAGGCGAAACTCGATAGATAGCCTCGGAGGAACAGCTAGAAAATATACCACTAGCTACCAATGGAGATGGAGCCTCTGGAGTGTGGTGATGGGTTCGTATTAAGCCCACTGCGATAAATCCCAATATGCCTAGCTAAAAGCCCAGTCGATAAACCATGCGATTGGGCTAAATGAAATATAGGAGCGGTCGAGCTTGATGGACCGCTTATATAAACATAAAAGAAGGCTTCTTCGAAGCCAAATTCCAATCTTCATCATTTTTACCTTAGAGAATCACCTAGAACTAAATATTGCGAGCTGCATTCTGCTACTTTGAAGTTGATTCCTTGAAACCGTTGTATTAATATAGATCTGTTTGATCATATTAATACAAATCTCTTTCGTTATTTTCAATCTTTATTTATCAAAGATTCATACGAAGATATAGGCCCTAATTCCTTTTATTTAATATCAAATTCCTGGTTGTTGATTTTCGGATCCACAATTTGGCGCACCAGATAGGGGGATTATAGATCTTCTTACTTAGGAATCCTAGATCATATTGTCGAAAAGATGAAATGGATCAAGCTCCAACAAACTCGTCGAGATATGTTCCTATCGCTGAATTCTCTAGCACGACGATTCAGCCGGAAGCTCAGGCTATAGCTCACGCATAATCGGAATAATTGGACCCAAGGGTACCGATTTGTCTCGGTACTTTGAGAGCTAGGTCGCCAACAATGATATCCCTCAAATCGAAGAGGCCTAATCCTCTGATTTCGTTCCCAAGCGTTCCTGCTCGGCTAAATCGACATATCCCGGCCCAGGCACAACTTCAGGAATAGGCCCGCAAGATTTCAGCCCAGTTGAAACAGATCGTTCGAACCCAAGAGTTTGGTTAAGACCAACTGTTTCGAGAGTAGGTCAATCCCCGCACCTTCTCTCGTTCTAAGAGGAGGCGGACCATTACCTCCACCTCCACCAGGAATAAGTGCTCCGATAACAATGCAGCCTAAATTAGTCAAATTCGGCACCGCAATGGATCTGATCCCACCTGTTCAAACACACACAGCAGATATTCGAGGCATCCTGAGCTCTGTGGTGGATATCACCAGGAGGCAAAAAAGTTTCACTCGTAGTATCGTTGCATGTATGGATCATCAGCGAGATGATTTTACGGTGCAAATGTCAGACCTGACTAGAATGAACGGACGACGGACTGATGATGAGGCATGAGGTTACAGGTCACCAATTATGGTATGTAACCCACCTCCTCGAACGGATGTGGATTTCTCCACCGTCCATGTATCGACGGGGACAGCTGGTTACTCGACATGCACCCGAGCACTGCAAACCTCTGATCAAACGTAGAAGGAACGTTGACATCCGAGGCTCAGAATAGTCCTACTCTCGACATATCAGAGAGGGAATTCCAGCCGCATGCTCTGTCACCACATTTGCCTCCCGAAGGATGCTAGATACTTGAAAACCTCAGCCTTCGCAGAAAGCACTGCACCTAATCCCAAAAGGGCGATGTAGTAGATTTTCTCCCAGTCGCAACCTCTCCATATCCTTCAAGAGGGGCTCCGGGTGCTGGCTTACCACTGGGTTTGTATACACCCGCCTAATCCCCCCACCCCCTGTGGACATAGCAAGCAAATCACGAGGTCGAAGAGGATCTTGACGATCCGGCATGGGCTAGAAAAAACCAATGCGGAGTTGTAGCTCATGAGTTCCCGAGTTTACAGAGCCATCAGTTCGGCACATGAGATCGATCTCGTGATTAAGGAAACCAGAGGGACCCCATGATAGACTCTTGATGAGGATCTATACTCCAAGTGATGTGTTTTCGAGTTTTACCTCTCAACTAACTACCTGCAAGTGCACAMCAATCACAATTAGTATAGATAAGGGATCGTATCCACAAGGACTTCTTAACCACACTTCAAATTGTAATGAATAAAACTAAGTTAGAACAAGATATTTTTGTCGTTTTTGTGATTAAGAATAAAGTAAGCAACGAATGTAAATTGTAATGAAAATCAATAAAAGAAAAACGCTAGGACTTAGGTAATTCGTAGAGAATRATGCAACAATAAAGATTGATTGATTTT